TAAACTTCAGATTTGGTGATGAAATAAAAACCTTCCATGATAAACAAGAATTTACAGCAAGAAAGCCTGGACTACAGAACATTCTTGGCAAAATATTCCATGTGGAGGCAGTGAAAAATAACTATAAAAATCTGCAAAGGGAGAAACTACACTAAAAGAAAGGCCAATCAAAAGAGAAACCAAGTCAAGGTAAAAACCAAAAATAAACCAAAATGACTGGGAATACAAACCATATCTCAATAATAGCCCTTAGCGTCAATGGCCTAAATTCATAAATTAAAAGGCATACACTAGCAGATTGGATTTCAGGAAAAAAAAAAAAAAAAAGACCCAACAATATGCTGCCTTCAAGAGACTCATCTCACAGGAAAAGACTTCCACTGACTGATGGCGAACAGATGGGGAAAAAAATTATCACTCACATAGACCATGTAAACAAGCAGGGGTTTCCATCCTCATATCAGATAAAGTGGACTTCAAACCAAAGTTAGTAAAAAGGTATAAAGAAGGTCATTTCATACTACTTAAGGGAATCATATATCACCAGACATAATAATCATAAATATCTACGCCCCAAACAATGGGGTATCTATGTATATCAAACAAACACTTCTCAACTTCAAGGATCAAATACACTATAACACAATAATACTAGGTGACTTTACACACCTATCTCACTACTGGATAGATCTTCCAAACAAAAATGAAACAAAGAAACTACAGAACTCAATAAAATAATCAATACTTTAGAATTAACAGATGTATATAGAATATTCCATCCATCAACAAGCAAACACACTTTTTTCTCAGCAACATATGGATCCTTGTCCAAAACAGACCATTTGTTATACCACAAAGCAAGTCATAGAAAATACAAAAGAGAGAGAGAGAGAGAGAGAGAGAGAGAGAGAGAGAGATACTACCCTGCATTCTATCAGATTATAATGGAATGAAATTAGAAATCAATGATAAAATTAAAAATAGAACCTCCTCCAACACCTGGACTAAATAATACACTATTGAATGACCCATGGATAAAGAAGGAGAAGACATGAAATAACCAAAATTAGGGCTGAAATCAATGAAATTGACACAAAAGAAACAATTCAAAAAATGGACAAAACAAAAAGCTGGTTCTGTGAAAAAAAAAAATTCATAAACGTTTAGCCACCCTAATGAAAATAAGGAGAGAGAAACTCGAATCACTAAAATTTGTGATGACAAAGGAAATATCATGACAGACACTAGTGAAATACAGAAGACAATTAGAAACCATTTTGCAAATTTATACTACAGTAAAATAGAAAACCTCAAAGACCCTGACAAATTTCTAACTGAACCAGGAAGACATACACAACTTAAACAGATCAATTTCAAGCAAAGAAATAGAAGACACCATCAAAAGCCTACCAACTAAGAAAAACTCCAGGACCAGATGAATTCTAAGCTGAGTTCTACAAGACCTACAAAGAAGAATTAATATCAATACTCCTCAAATTATTCCATGAACTAGAAAAGGAGGGAACCCTTCCAAACTCGTTCTATGAGGCTAGTATCAATCTGATACCAAAAGCAGACAGAGACACATCAAAATATCAGACCAATACCTGCTGAGAGCCACAGCAGAGTCGGAATGGCCCCCGGCATTTTGCCAATAGTATTGGTTGAGAGGCAAGCCATTAAGATGATGCTGGATTGATTCGGTTGTATATTAGACCTTTACTGTCCGCCTCAGCCTGTTACTTTGGAGTTCTCGCGCTACTTTGGAGTTCTCCTGGGGATTCCCAGAGAGTTCCCATTGGTTGGGGAAGTGCGGGAGAAGGGATTTCCGGAAGAGGGATTTCCGGTTGTTGGTTCCTGGAGGACCCACGTGGTGTTCGGGAGAGTTCCTGGGGAGCCTGTGTGGAGTATGCTGGTGGAGTTCAGAAATAAAGTTTGTTCCTGCTTCAGTGGCTCGTGATTTGTGCCCAGCCAGCCTGCGGCAAATACCCTTGATGAACATAGATGCAAAAATTCTCAATAAAATTTTGGCAAATCTCATACAAAAACATATTTGAAAAATAGTACACCATGATCAAGTGGGGTTCATTCCAGGGATGCAAGGTTGGTTCAATGTACAGAAATCAATAAACATAATCCATCACATCAGTGGACTTAAAGATAAGAATCATATGATTATAACAATTGATTCAGAGAAAGCATCTGACAAAATACAGCACTCTTTTATGTTCAAAACACGAGAAAAACAAGGGATAGTAGGAACATACCTCAACATTGTATGCTAAACCCAAAGCCAACATCATCCTAAATGGAGAAAAATTGGAAGCATTCCCTCCAAAAATAGGAACAAGACAGGGATGCCCTCTTTCACCATTTTTATTCAATACAGTCTTTGAAACTCTAGCCAGAACAATTAGACAAATTAATAGGATACAAACGGTACAAGAAGAACTCAAACTATTTGCTGATGACATGATTCCACATTTGGAGGATCTAAAAAAAATCTCACCACAAAACTTCTAGAATTAATAAATGAATTCAGCAAAGTAGCAGGATATAAAATCAAATGCATTTCTATACATCAATGATGAATCTTCTGAAAGAGAAATTAGGAAAACTACCCCATTCACAGTATCCTCAAAAAAAAAAAAAAAAAAAAAAAAAAAAAAACCACTTGGGAATCAATCTATCAAAAGAAGTGAAAGACTTTTACAATGAAAACTACAGAACATTAAAGAAAGAAATTGAAGAAGACCTTAGAAGTTGGAAAGATCTCCCATGCTCCTAGATAGGCAGAATCATTATTGTCAAAATGGCCATATTACCCAAAGCGCTGAACAGAGCCAATGTGATTTTCAATTAAAATTCCAATGTCATTCCTTGTAGAAGCAGAAAAAACAATCATGAAATTCATTTGGAAAAATAAGAGACCCAGAATAGCCAAAAGAATCCTTAGCAAGAAGAGTGAAGCAGGAAGCATCACAATACCACACCTTAAACTATACTGCAAAGCATGGTATTGACACCAAAGCAGACATGTAGAACAATGGTATAGAACAGAAGACACAGAGACAAACTTATATGAATACAGTTATCTCATACTAGGCAAAGGCACCAAAAACATACCTTGGAGAAAAGATAGCCTCTTCAACAAATAGTGCTGGGAGAACTGGAAATCCATATGCAGCAAAATGAAACTAAACCCCTATCTCTCACCTGCACAAAACTCAACTCAAAGTGGATCAAGAACCTAGGTATTAGACCAGAAACCCTATGCCTAATACAAGAAACAGTAGATCCTAAATCCTCATCATATCAGATTAGGCCCCAACTTCCTTAACAAGACTCCTAAAGCACAAGAAATAAAATCAAGAAACAATAAATGGGATGGATTCAAACTAAAAAGCTTCTTCTTGGTAAAAGAAATAAAGAAGTGAAGAGAGAGTCCACATTTTGGAAGCAAATTTTTGCCACATGTATGTCACAGCATTATCTCCAGGATATATAAAGAACTCAAAAAACTTAACACTAAAAAAAAATTAATAAATGGGCCAAGCAGCCGAACAGACACTTCTCATAAGAAATACAATCGATCAACAAATATATGAAAAAATGTTCAACATCTCCAGTAATTAGAGAACTGCAAATGAAAACTACTCTAAGATTTCATCTCACTCTAGTCGGAATGGCAGTTAACAAGAATACAAGCAACAATAAGTGTTGATGAAGATTTGAGGAAAAAGACACACTCTTAGATTGCTGGTATAATTGCAAATTGTTGTAACCATTCTGGAAAGCAGTGTGGAGATTCCTCAGAAAACTGGGAATGGAACCACCATTTGACCCAGTTATCCCACTCCTCAGTTTATACCCTAAAGACTTCAAAACAGCATACTATAGTAACACAGCCACATCAATGTTCATAGCAGCTCAATTCATAGCTAAACTATGCAAGCAACTTAGATGCCCTTCAATAGATGAATGGATTTAGAAACTGTGGTGTATACAAAACAGAATAAAAATCATGGCATTTGCAGGTAAATGGATGGAATTGGAGAATATCATGCTAAGCAAAGAAAGCCAATCCAGAAAACCAAAGGTGGCAGGAAAGATGGTAGAATGAGATGGACATCATTACCATAGGTACATATTCGACTGTACTTTTGGTGCGACTCTACTTTGTGTACAACCAGAGAAATAACAAGTTGTGCTGCAATTGTGAACAATGAATTGAAATGCATTCTGTTGTCATGTGTAACAAATTAGAATATATATATATATATATATATATATATATATATATATATATATATATATATATATATATGTTTTAAATGCACACAGGAACCCCATTCCTGCTCATTCTCAGGAGCTTTCCAAATGATTCCTAGACACACCTAGAAGGTGGTGGGCTGACTAGGAAAGTGAAGGGCACGTGCACCCGTTGGGTGGGTGGGGGGGGCCTTCTTGGCCTGGGAGCCGCGCCACCCGGGAGCGCAAGCTGCATCTAGGGGCCGTCAGAGTCACGCAGCTCACCGGGTGCGGAAAGCCCTGGCACCGGCGCCCTGCTGGGAGCGCCTCCCCTCGCCCTTCACTGCGCGCAGAGACCCTGCGCAGGGCCGCGGTCGGATTCGGGGCACAGCCCGCGGGGCGAAGGTGCCGGGCCGGCTGGGGACGCTGCCAAACGCGACCCTGGAGCCATTCTTCTGGCTTCCCCGCACTCACCATGGCTACAGGATCTCAGGACGAAAACCGGCCGTGGCGACAGGAACACAGCATCACCAAGGCCGCCAACCGGTTACTCCGGGGACAGAGCCCCGCCCATCTGGGCCCCGCGCTGGAAGCACGGAGTCCTCAGTTCCGCCCAAGCAGCGGGTGGGCCTGCCCCTTCAGGTGTCGCCAAGGCAACGAACGCGCCTTCTTCTTTCCTCCGTCCGCACTTCCGTTCAATTGACAGGTGACCCGGAAGTTCAAGCTAGTAAGCGGCTAGGCTCCATATATTGCTATGTTTTACTTTTAAATATGCTCCTGTGCACTTCTCGCTTACAGAGGTGTTACACTGTATTTTCAATGTCTCTCGAGTTTAAGCGCACCACAGAGTATTGTCTTTCTCTTCTGGAAAAGCCTTCCGGAAACGAAACCCTGAGTAACCGGAAGTGGCGGGCGGGGCGCCCCGGAGTCCGGAAGGCCCGGGGCGCGTCAGGTGGGAGGGGAGCCGGTAGAGCGAGCCGGTGACGCGGAGCCCACGGCCTGCGACGTGGGGCCGCCCGGAATCGGGAAAGAAGGGTCTCGGCGCAGGTTCCTGAGCCGGCTTAGGTAACTATGGGAGGGCATGGGGTTCTCGGTCGCGGGAGGAACGGGGGTCGACCTCCCGGGCCGGCCTGCGGTTGCGGGTCTCCTGCGTCCAGAGCCGGGGCCGCCGGCGAGAACGAGCCCGCGCATTTGGGAAACCGGTCAGGGGCCTCCGCGCTGCTTCGCGTCGGGTTCCGCCGGTGGCCTGGCGCCGCCACGCCGGCTGTCATCGAGCCTGCCGTCCGCCGCGTTGAGGGCCCCGCGAGCCCAGGGTAGTCCCGGGAGCCTGTGCGGACGTGGCTGGAGGCGCGGTGTGCATCATTTTGACTGTCTTACCAAAAAGGGCAAACTGAATTATCTTGAGTAGTACTTTCGTTGCTTCTTAAACGTGTAAACGGATGCGCTTTGTGTCTCCTGAGGGAATAAGTACTTTAAAATTCCTCTTGTCCTATCAGTGGTATAAAAGCTCTTTCAATAACTTAAGCGTTTCCAAAATTCAAGACACACCTCTGGCAGTTTAGACTGTACTGGTGAGGATGGTAAAACGGCATCTACAAGTAAACTATGCCGAATTTTTTTATCACCTGTGAGAAGGGAATGTGGAGATTATTTCCCTAAGTGCTTGGGTTCTAAAAGCAGAAGTAATTAAAATACACATTTTTAACTATAGACATTTATCAACTGTGTTTATATGATATCATTTTAACTCTCTTCTGTGTATACGTTTTTAGGTTTTTTTCCAGTGGAAGTCTTGAAATACATTTTCATTAAAGAAAAAAAAATGGCTACTCTTAAAAGTTTAGAAACCAAAGGTAAGTGTCCTTACTTTGATGATACCTGTTTTTAAGACATGAAATTTATGATATGAAGGAATAATTCAGCCAGTTGAGTAAATCTCATAGATTCCTTGGGAATCATTTGTGTTTCAGATCTCTTCATGTTTAATTAGTAATTCAACTTTTATATTTCAGTACTTCAGATAAACCTTAACATCATTAGGTGGTATTTGTTGGATGATTACTTACTTTTAAAAGTTTAGTGTAACAAAACTGACTTGAACAATGTATTACCTATCCACTAGAAGAACAGGATTTAAATAAACAAAAATAAAGTATACCAGCAAGGCTACACTCTGAGTAGGCATTAGGAAAAGATCTGGGTTTCTTTCCTTGGGGTTTGCTGACACTCTTTGATGCTCCTTGGCTTTTCCATCCTCGGTTTACGTGGTGTTCTCTCCGTGTGCATTTTTCTGTATCCAACTTTCCCCTTTAATAAGGGCAGCAGTCATATTGGATAAGTGACTCACCCTACTCCTGTATGATTTCATCTTAACTATATTTGCATGATCCTTTTTCCAAATAAGGCCTCATTCTGAGGTACTGAGGTTAGGACTTCAGCATAAGTATTTGGGGGATACAGTTCTACCTATAGCACTTGGCCGTGTTCACTAGTCAGCTTGTAGTCCTGCTTTGCTTGTAATATTCTTAATCATTCCCTGCCTTTTTTAATATTTTTATTTTTTTTTTTTATGTGGTACTGAGGATCAAACCCAGTGCCTCACATGTGCAAGGCAAGCGCACTGCCACTGAGCCACAACCTCGGCCCCATTCCCTACCTTTTGAAATTCATTCTTTCCATGACTTCCAAGCTACCACTGTGTTGTCAGTCTGCTCTTTACTGCCCAACACAGTAACCACATGTGACTATTTGAATTTAAATTAATATTTTTAAAAAATCAACATTTAGTTCTCAGTCATATTAGCTACAACTGTTTTAGTCAGCATTTTTTTTCCCTGCTGTACCAAAAGACCTGACCAGAACAATTGAGGTCTCAGTCCGTAGATAGCTGACCCCATTGCTGTCGACCAGAGGTGAGGAAGCACATCATGGTCAAAGGTGTGGCAGAGGAAAACAGGTTATAACATGGAACCAGGAAGCAGAGAAAGAGAAAGAAAGAGATAGCTGTATTCTCCAGGGACAGAAATATATACCCCAAAGGCACACCCCCAATGACCTACCTCCTCCAGCCATGTGCTACCTGTTTAAAGTTACTACTCAATTCCTATCAAGGGATTAATACACTGATTAGGTTAAAAGTCTCATAATCATTTCACTACTAAACTTTCTTGCATTGTCTCACACATGAGCATTTGGGAGATAGCTCATATCTAAACCATCACAGCCTCCAAGTACTTAGTAACCAAATGTGGCTGGTAACTCTGATATTTCTATCATTGCCAAAATTCTTTTGGATATTGCTGCTGTAGCAGTATCTCCTCTATTTTTCAGACTCCTCTCTGGTTTATGTTTTAAATATCAGTGTTTTTCAGCTCTCTTTCTCTTCTACTCTCAGAGTTTCTATGATTAATTATCTGTAAGAACAACTTCCAAATTTATCAGTAGCTCAGATCTCTCCTGTTGAGATTTAGAATTTTATAGACAACAATTATTTTTTCTTAGATATAGACAACAATCTTGACATGTCCCAAAGTAAACTCCTGACCCAGCTCATTTGGGGAATAGAGTCAAGTTCTTCCTGCCAGAGCCTTTAATAAGAGATAGGAAGCAGTTTTCTAGAAGCAAACTTTTCAGGAAGCATATTTCCAGTAGCAAATTCTATTTATTTCAGTCCTTAAAAAGGGATATAGTAGCTTAGTGGTTCAGCACTTGCCTAGCATATGTGAGGCACTGGGTTCGATTCTCAGCACCACATATAAATAAAATAAAGGTACATTGACAACTAAAAACAATTTAAAAAAATAAAAGAAAAAAAAGGATTCAGATATGTTCAGGAAACAACAAAGAAAGGTCACACTAATAAGTACTTAATTGAATTTAATATAGCTAGATGCAACAACTGTTCTTTTCACAAGTCACTAAAACAGCTAAAAAGTATTAGAATAAGTAAATCAAAGACTAATCAAAGTAATAAACTGGGAATAAATGGGAAATAAAAGCAATTAAAATGATAACTAATGTGAAAACAACTAGCATGGCATTTAGCAAAAATTATGATTAGTGATTAAAAGCTTGTTCTTGCAGTGCCTCTGAAAGTGTTATTTTTATTGTTATTGTAATGAGGATTAGAGTTATAAAACAGCACTTTCATATACTTTATTTCATTTGATCTTCATTATCTAATAAGGAAGACAATCCAACCACTAGTGCTATTCCTACTTAATATAATGCTAACAGTGAACAAAAGTTACTTGTATTGCATAGCCTGAGAAGACATGTACTTAGGTTTGACCTTGTCAGTTGTCTGCATATCCTGTACCTGCCTCAGGTGAGAAACATGGTTATGTTCTTGATCATTGGTTGTTTGGTTTCATACTAGAACTTCCTCTCGGAAGACATATGAGCAATACTGACATCATTAGAGTGATATATCATTGCTGCTGGAGCTTTTCTGAAGGAAAAATCTGTCAGACTGTAACTGAGTTAGGAATTAATGGTTCAGCGTAAAGGAAAAACATAAGCACTTTTTAAAGGAATTAGTTATTGAACATACACCTGAAATCTCCCAGATGTGTGTAAAAGATTGATAAGCTTCATTAGCACTTACTCATTGTCTCCGTGCCAAGCACCATTTCTGTAGCTAGTGATATAAAAAATAGGAAACATTTCTACCCTAAGAAGCTTTCAATAGTTTAGTCTGCAAGAGAAACAAATTATCCTAAAATACTGTAGTATTTCCCTTTTCTGAAAGCTCCAGGGGATGGGAAGAGGGTGTAGTTGAGTGATTTATCCAAGTTTAAACAATACATAGCAATGGGGACTTTTACATTATTCTGACTCAGGGTCTGATGGCAGGGGGGACTTAAATTCTGATGCGGTCTGGTGTTCCTTCTCTCCCTGCTGACTTTTTTTGTTTGTTTGTTTGTTGTGTGTGTGTGTGTGTGTGTTTTTTTTTTTTTTTTTGATTGATTGAGTATCTTTCTCTGTAGATTCACAATGTTATGAATAAATGACAGTATTTGTTCAATAACAGATTGTAAAATCATACTTTTTGCCTAAATATTCTGGAGCAAGGATTGGCAAATGTGGCTCTTGGGCCTCCTTGAAAATGGTTGTGATCAGACTGATGATAGGGAACAGTAACTTTGAGTTCCACATAAATCAGATGTTATCCTAAGTAAAAAGATTCCTGCTGTTTTCATAATTAAATCTTTAGTACCAACTCTATTCCATAATCATTTTAGTTTGAATTTCATCAATAATCATTGCTTTTTCTCTTGTGTGTTACATACCTAACTAGAATCCTTGCTTTTACTTCCTAATTCACAAAGCCAGAAATATTTATTCTCTGGCCCTTTACAAAAAATGTTGCCAACCTCTACTCTAGAATGTTATAGACTAGCAACCTTATTTCTTATGTCCTTATATTTCACCAAAAAGAGTGAGGCATGAAATTTAGATATGATTTAGTTTGCTGGTAAGTGATCACAGGTGGAGGTAGTGTTGGTGAGTACCATAGTGGTGGTCTTGTTGATTCCCCTCAAAGAGTGCAGAAAAGCAAGGGATGATGTTTTGCTTTACTCAAACATCACTCATAATTATGGAGGTGGTACCATAGGGTCTTGAGAGAAGGTAATTGCTCATGAATGTGCCCTAGATTATGCCAGTACATATGTAATAAAGGTATCTATGTGTGTCACAGGGAAAATAGAATTATGAACGGTAAGCTACCAGATGAGAAAATGTCAAGCCCTGGCTCTCATTGCCAGCTTGCCCTAGCATGTTAGCTAGAATCAGTTGTGAGACAGAGCTGCCATGTGATAACGTAGCACAACCTTGATATTCATAAACCTTGAGTGAGTAGAACAATTCAAATAAAGTTAAGAATAAATTTAGCCAGGCGCAGTGGCACACACCTGTAATCCCAGCAGCTTGGGAGGCTGAGGCAGGAGGATCATGAGTTCAAAGCCAGACTCAGCAAAAATGAGATGCTAAGCAACTCAGTGAAACCCTGTCTCTAAATAAAATACAAAATAGGGTTGGGGATGTGGCTCGGTGGTTGTGTGCCCCTGAGTTCAATCCCTGGTACCGCCAAAAAAAGAAAAAAAAACTGTTCTGACTTGTGTAGAAATCCTATTCACCTGTGGTCAAAGTATCACACCTGCTTGTCGTATCTTCATCCTCAGTGGGCCCGAGTGCCACTTTTTCTTGTTGTTTTTATTAATCCTTAATAAATAGTTGATTCTAAGTTCTCGAATGCCAGAATGTCTTATTAATAAAATAAAATTCACATTAAGTAAAGTTAAGGCAAAACCAGATTTTAAGAACATGAGAATAGTTTTTTATTTTTAAAGTAGTTCAGTGGATATTCTAGCAAGTGCTAATAAGCTACAGCATGTTTTAAATAATATACAGATCCTTTATCTCACTTTCTGAAATGCTCACTTGCTTATCTTTATGAAATTCAAGTCAGTCTCAAAGATCCCAAAAGTTTTTATATTTCATATTGAATTGGCACTATTTTATTCTAGTGTACATATTTTATGAATAGAGCACATTAAGTCCATCCCAGATTTCTTTCTCCCTCCCCTCTAATGTAACATGAAATTCCTAAGACCCCCAAAGTTTGTCAGGAATTTCTTTAAAGAAGAATAATAATGATCACAGTAGGCCCTAATATTTAATGAGTGCTTATTGTGCCAAACACCATTCTAAACACTTCACATGTGTTCTTATTTACTTTTAAGAATTGTATTAAATCATAGGATTGAGCATGTCAAAAAAGTAAAACTAAATAAGAACATAAGGAATAGACTAATAGATTATAGATTGATTTTTGAAGACAGTTTGGCAATACAGATCTTCACCAGACCCATTATTGGTAATTTATTTGAAAGAAATAAGTACAAGTCAGTTATGGTAGTGCATTCCTATAATCCTAGCCGTATGGTAGGGTCAGGCAGGAGAATTGGTTGAACTCAGAAGTTCAGGGCTAACCCTCATAATATAGTGATAGGTTGTCTCAAAAAAGAAGGAAAGAAAGAAGAATGAATCCAGAAGTCGAGAGGTTGAGGCATGAAAATGTTCACTAAACCATTATATAATAACACTATTTATTATAGTGAAAATTTGATAAAAGCAAGTATCCAACAATATAATAAGTGAATTCTAATATAAACATGAAGCCCTATATTATAGCCATAAAATGAAAAATATGAAGATTATAGCAAAAGAGAAAAATAATGTTAAACTTATAAAATTTATTATGATTACGAGTTATTATGATTATAAAAATACCAAAGTAGTTTGATATAATAAGTATTTTATAGTGATGATAACATAGGTAAATTTATTCTTGTTAATATCTTTAGTAATGTATATTTTAAAAATAGTAATAGAAACCAAAGATGTGTGACTGTGTGTGAAGACAATCTGTTCTATTTAGTAGTTTTTGTATCTGTGTAATGAAGTTTGGAAGAGGAAGAAAACTGAGTTTAGTAAAAGTAGACCTAACAAAGAAACCTCAGGAAGTTATTCTGGTTAGATATTTCCTTTGCATAAAACACCTTGGCAGGTAACTTTTGAACTTTCTTAACATTGCCCCAAGAATGCTTACCTTTTTTATGGTGCTTTGGCCAAAGAACTCCATTTCAGGACCGTAATTCTAAGAAAGAGGGTGACAACACAGTCTGCTTCAGTTTGGAATGTTCACAAATTATATCTCTCTCAATGTGGCTTTGGACATCAGAAACTCCAAAGAGGTTTAATTTTAGTAAGACCTTATTATTGTTCTTACCAAGCTCAATGAGTATGGTTACAGTGAAGTGTGATTTATATTTGATATAGTAAGATATTTTATTTAGTAATAATCAAAACTAAGGACATACTTGTGCTTTTTTTTTCTTACTAAGAATTCTGTTTCAGGTCTTTGTCTTAGGAGATTACATTATTTATACCAGTTATTATTTATATATTGAATATATAACATTACTATATGTTATTTACATAATTTATACACACACGAATATGAGATTTGGCTAAACAGTAATGAAGTCACTAAAGAGCAATCAGTAATTCATGATTGACTTTAATGTTTTTGTAGAAATAAAATTTCTATCAAAATATACCTTTATTGCATGCACCTCACTGTACATTACCCTGTAATACATTTTTTAAAAATATTTATTTTTTAGTTGTAGTTGGACACAATACCTTTATTTTATTTATTTATTTATTTTTATGTGGTGCTGAGTATTGAACCCAGGGCCTCACACGTGCTAGGTAAGCACTCTTTCACTTAGCCCCTACCCTTTAATACATTTTATCTTTTTTATTTCCTTTTTGTGGTAATAAGGAATTAATCCAGGGCCTCATGGATGTTAAGCACAGGCTCTACCACTGATCTATATTTCCAGTACTCATTTTGTCTTTTCAGGTGAATATCCTGTCTCTTAAATTAGATAGTACTTCTTCCCAATGAAGTGGTCAGCACTGCCTCAGAATGTCTGAACTCTATAAGGCACTCAGCACCATGTTCGCTACCTATAATCATCAGAGTTCATTATTATGATCATCGTTGCTGACCTGTGTGCTTGTCCTCTACCCTTTCCATATTCTCATTCATATCTTTTTCGTCATAAATTTGTTATTACTCATGTGTGTATTGAGTATTGTGTACAAGTACTTCACGGGGAATATAGTATACCTAAAAATAAGTTGACAGCCACTGGAAGAAACAGAACACCAGTAAAATAATTTGAATATGGTATGGTGAAAGTGAGTTCTATAGAAGTTTAATCTGACAGTACAATGTTTCAACTTCTGTAAGCAACACTTAAACCCTTAGGTTTAAAAATATGACTCAGTCTTTGCCTAATCAGTTCTCCAGTTTAACATGTTTTTCTTTACCCTTGTGCAAAGCATTCCTTGCCAGGAGGTCACAAAAAAACTTGAATTTGTTTTGAGGTACATAAATGGTTTGTAAATGTGTACATGTAAAGCTGATACTTATTTTATATTTAACTAAAATTATCATCTACCATGTGCCAAGCACTTGATCTTATTACATTCTTTCTTACTACACCTTATAATATCTTTCCTAATTTCCATTTTGCATATTAGGATATAGAGATTAATGGAGAATTAAATTATTTATCTAGATCCCCAGCACCAAAAAAAAAAAAAATTATTGACCTAGGATCATATTAAGAAGAAGTCCAAATCAAATGTTGTGATTCCAGTTGTCTTGCATCTTCTTCTGAGAGATGCACTTAGACAGTTTGAGCCTGGAAAACTCAGTTCCTTGACAAATGGTTGTTTGGAAAATTACTTTTTACTCTGAATGTTTTCCTTTTTAAAAAAAATTTTTGTAGTGCCAGTAAGTTTGAATGTTAAAAAAAAGCAGTCTTGGCATTTCCTTAGCATTTCTTTCTAGTAATTCGAGTTTTGTTTCTCCTTTCTTAGTCACCCTTACTTCAACCCCAATCCGAGGAGCAGGAGATGGAATGGAAACAGAAGAGCCACCTACATCTATTGAAACCACCTCTGGAGTCCAGTCCATAAAGCATCACATCCTTCAGAATCCACGGAAGAAAGCAGCTCCTTCAGAGAACCCAGGAGTTCTTCAGCTGGGAAAGATTCTCTCTGAAAAGGCAGTGGAGGTAGAAGCTATAAGAATACGTGTTCCCAAAACTGCTATAACTCATGATATCCCCAACAAAAATGGAAAGGTTAAATCTCTAGGATATCATAGAGGAGAATTTCATGGTCAGCCTGAAGGAGTTATAGAACCTAGAAAGGAACTCTCTGAGGTGAAGACTGTATTGGAAGAGCTCAAGAACTCTGAAAGAAGGTTACTACAAGACAAAGAAGGTCTTTCAAACCAGCTCCGAGTACAGACAGAGGTAAGATTGGCCTGAATCACTTGAATGGGGGGCAACTTTTTACACCTGGACCTTCTAAGCCTGGATAGGAAACTACGTTTCTTCGTGGAAATGTCATTTATCATAGGTTATCATTTCTTTAAAATTTTTCCTCTTATATTTCTCATTCTCTCTGAGGGCTTCTAGAGGGTTGTTATTGGGAACTTATACTAAGCCTAGTCAAGGATGGATATGTGAGATGCTTATAAAAGTAGGTTGTAAAGGTAGGTTACAGTTATAAAGTGCCAAACCAAAGGGTGACCAAATCAATCTATAGTGCTTGATGGTGTTGCTGTGATCTTTACATCTTAGTAAAATTGCCTTAACTCTCCCTTGTTTCTCTATTGGACTGTGTCTTTTTTGCCAGATACTAGTCTTGTGACACCATAATGATTCTTGTCCAACTGTATTAATGTATTTAATAATACACATAAACGTGTAATTTAAACACACATATTTAATATATAAACACAAACATATATATATATTTATAAATTTTGGGGGAGGGGACTGAGTCATATCCCCACTGAGCCACACTCCCAGCCCTTTTTCATTTTTTATTTTAAGACAGGGTGTCACTAAGTTGCTTAGGGGCCATGCTGAATTTCTAAGGCAGACCTGGAACTTGCAGTTCTCCTGCCTCAGTCTCCTGAGTCGCTGGGATTATAGGCATGCACTACCACACCTGGTAATAATATATTTTAAATATGTCTTTAACCAATTTCTAAGTACAAAAGTAGTACATTCTTATTAGATCTTAGTATTAAGATATCTGACAAAGTTTGTCAGAGTACTTCATATACTATTGAATGTACAGCTCTTTCTCCTATTGATGGTCCTACAGTCTCCTGAAGTAGAGAAATGATATAAGGAACCTCTCCTTCAGAATCACTCCTACAATGTTTATGACCACATCAAAACTGAACTCAGATATCTGGTAAATAATAAACATTTTTTACACTAGAGAAAAACACAATGAAAATGGTACCACCCATAACTACACTATTGAGATATGGGCGCTGGGTTCGATCCTCAGCACCACATAAAAATCAAATAAAGATGTTGTGTCCACCAAAAACTGAAAAATAAATATTAAAAAATTCTCTCTCTCTCTCTCTCTCTAAAAAAAAAAAAAAAAAAAAATCTGTGACATTTCTTTGAGCTTATTGTATTTGTTATGTTCTTCTAGGTAAATCGTGAGTTAAAAAAGTTGTTGGTGGCTTCTGTGGGGGATGATCTTCAGTATCACTTTGAACGTCTAGCCCGTGAAAAGAATCAGCTTATTTTAGAAAATGAAGCCCTAGGTCGAAACACAGCTCAACTCTCCGAACAGTTAGAACGTATGTCCATACAGTGTGATGTGTGGCGTAGTAAATTCCTCGCAAGCAGGTATTTTCTATTCTAAATAGTATTTCATTTACTAGTTTTTGTTATCAGGTTTTCAAACCATAATACAAGAAAGTAGATTATAGTACAAAAATTTTTGAGATTGTACTTCATACATCATTTAATATGTGGCTTTCACACAATCTCCCTGAATGGGAAAATAATAGAAGGATCCTTTCTCAGTCTGGAAATCACTTCTCTTGCAGGGTTTAAGATCAAAACAAACCTGTAAATTCAGATATCTGGTAAATATTAAAACTAAAAAAGGCAAAACTACATTTTTTTTTCCACCTTCTATCTGGAGAACTCTAATATTGTTCCCACTGCCTAAGAGGACACTGTCCATGTCCTGTAAGAATAGATCTTTTGTCTATATAAGAGAGCTTCCCAACCTTTTTCTTTCCATCATAAGTAAAAAAAAAGAAAAATACAACATTTTTATGGCATACTTCATGAGGCTACTGTCTAACAGGTAATAAACCAGGTCTGAATCTAGGTGTCTGGACTGGTTGGGAAACTCTGCTATATATCTATTGACTCTTTGTTTATCCCTGTCGACTTTGAGTTACTGGGGACAAGATCTGATGTTATTCATCTCTGTATTTCTAATGCTTAGAAAAGGACTTTTTATGTTTAACAATTACTGATTTAAATTGAATCATCTAGAAAATTTTCACAAAACACCCAAAGGTTTCCATGTTATACTTTAAGAACCACGTATTTTTTCAGGTACTAACATCTCTCATACTTTCTAGTACTTGATTGTTCTTAAAGTTCTTCATTTATTTGTTTTCTAGTTGTGCTAGTATAGTATGCTATTTGAAGAAATGAATTTACTAGTATTGACTTAAATTGAAACATAGTTCTTATTAAACAGTTTAAGAGGCAAATCATGCATATGTCATACAGGTTATTGCAGTATGTAACTTTCTTAACATCCTGATCAACACCTGTGATCACATTCTAAAGACAATAAAAATTGATATTTTAGTTGATTTAACCTATTAATGTCAAAATTGTTTTCCTTTTAAGGAATTCAGTAATAAGTATGGTCTGAAACTTTAAATTTTAGTGTTAAATTTTCAGCTGAAACTATACTTTAAAATTTGCTTCAGTTTCATCAGTAGAGTTGGTCAAATAAAATGTAGTATTTACAATCACTAGAAAACATGAAGTTGGTTCTTCAAAACTGTAAATGAGTTGGGCCAATAATCAAACCACTCAGGAGGCTGTGGCAGTAGGATCACAAGTTGAGACCAGCCTGGACAACTTAGCGAAACTCAAGTCTCAAAAGTAAAACTTTAAAAAAGGCTAGGGTTATAGCTCAGTTCATGTGCAAAGCCCTGGGTTCGATCCCCAGTGCCGCAAAAATAGAAAACTGGGAATAAGATAGTGTTACATGTGCTCATGTGGAAAAAGCTCCAAAATTAGTAAGTTAAAAAAGCAAGGTATGGTAACTTTGTATTAAATAATCCCATTTTTTAAACTGTGTTTATTTTTAACACATACTTTTATGTTGAAATATACATGATTTTTGGTAAAAATGTGTAAGAAACTTTTATGTTACATATGAAAGGATGGTCATGCTAGGCAAGAGGAAAGACTTAGTTTTCATCTTTTAGAAACCTTTCTATTTTTCTGTATTTTTCTAAGGGCAAATTATAATTGAGTAATAAAAAAATAACTCATTTTTATCTTCCTCTTTAAATTTTTCTGTATTTAAAAATGTTTTATTTATTTTTCAAATATGATTAATCTGGAATAAGATTGGGGTAAATTCAAAAGTTATTGTATAGAAAAATTAAGTGTTTCCTTTGTCATTTTACAAATATTTTAACTGAATCCCTTTAATGAGCTCTAAGCTCATAAACCTTTTTAAATTTAAAATTTTCACTAAAAAAATTTTGAAACAAGACAGCTGACTATGTTAAATCTTCTTTGTTTTTGAAAATGCCAGTTACAAAGCAGTATGTTAATTTTTCTTTACAGTTTTATTATCAGAGAATTTGTATGTGAAATTTTAATCTGTTCTAGGGTAATGGCAGATGAGTTAACCAGCTCCAGAGCAGTTTTACAGCGTCACAATCGTGATGCACAAAGTGCTATACAAGATCTCCTGAGTGAACGGGAGCAGTTTCGTCAAGAAATGATAGCTACCAAGAAGTACGGAGCTTGTTTACATACTGAACTCTTCTGGTTTCTCCTGAAGTTTTTGTTGCTGTGAAAGGTTTTTTTTGTTTTGTTTTGTTTTAAATGTGTCTACATTTGATAACTTACTGAACATATACTTTAAGTAGCACTTTAAAACGGATGTCTTGGGAGGTAGGAGGCCTAAAATATAGACATGCTTCTTCACCTGTTCTTAATTAGGGAAATGATTATTTATACCAGTAATAGAAAAAACATATGGAATTAAAAGCTGATTTGGATGGTAGTTTTGTAGTTTAATATAACTCTTGTTAGAAGTCAAGGAATATACCTGTCTTTCCAATGGAAGGTAATCTTTTTGAAGACTTTCTATAGGATTAGAGTTTGTTTTCAAATCCATATCCAGAACTACTCAAGTTGGTAGTCTTTAAAAAAAAAAAAAAAAAAAATTCTTACTTAAAAATAAGCTCCTTGCACTATATATAATTGAATTATTAACAACAGAATCAGTAAGTGTCAAAGAGTAAATTGTATGTGTGATTAAAAGAACAAAGCCTACTATGTCAAAATATCAAAATTCGTGGGAGGCAGCTAATGCAGTGTTTAGAGGAAAATGCATAGCCTTAAGTGCTTATTTTGGAAAAGAAGAAAGGTCTCATCTCACTCAAAAAATTAAACCCAAAGTAAGCAGAAGAAAGAATACAATAAGGATGAAAGCTAAAGTACATTTAAAAGCCAAATGTTAGTTCTTTGAAAAGATAAACTTAAGGGCGCCGAGGTTGTGGCTTAGTGGTAGAATGCTTGCCTAGCATGCAGGAGGCACTGGATTCCATCCTCAGCACCACGTAAATGTAAAATAAAGATATTGTGTCCACATAAAACTTCAAGAATAAATATTCAAAAAAAGAAAAACTTAAGAAACCTCTAGCAAGTTTAATTATGGTAAAAAGAGAAGATTTGCATTAAATGTTAGGAATGACCCTGCAGGTTATATAGACATGAAAAAAAAATCATAAAAGATGATTACAACTCTATGTCAATAAATTCAGTAATTTAGATGAAATAGACTATTAAAGGTAACTCTAGAACATATATATATTGACCCCCAGAACTGCAAAAAAGGAAAAAATATATTACCTAAATAGTCCTAATCTACTAGGTATGCATTTGTAGTTAAAAACCATCTAGTAAGGAAATAAGGGAAATTCTGGGTCTAATTGGATTCACTAGTAAATACTAGTAAACATCTAAGAAAGAAATAAAGTTTACACAAATTCATTCAAGTGTAAAGGATAAAGGAAAAATTTCTAACTCATTTTATGAGACTACCATTATCTTAATACCAAAACCAAAGATATAACAAAAAAACTATAGACTATAGAACAATACCTCTAAGGAACATAGATGTAAAAATCCTTAACAGAGATTTAGTGAATCAAATGCAATAGTATAGAAAAAGATTTGTTCATTATGACAAACTAGGGTTAAGCTCAGGTATTGTAGGTTGGTTTAGCATTCAAAATCAGTGTAAACTCACCAAAAAAGAAAACCCATAGATGCACAAATCAGTAGCTCCTGTACTAAAATATAATAACTAAAAATGTACTATTTTTTGAGTGATTTTCAGATTGACAGATGCTTTTTGTTGTTAATTTATTTGACCAGACTTCCTGGTTTATTGAACTTGGAGAGAGAAAGATACAGGAGAAAGACAGTGTATGATTTCAGAAATATGTTTCTCATTTATTTATTATTATGGATTTTTATATATTGTCTTCTCACTAATGTTCAGAGTTCATGTGTATCTTATGCAGATTTTTGGAGGAGCTCTTGGTCTCCTTACAGTGGGGAAGAGAGCAGACTTACTCCCCCAGTGCACAACCTCAGAGCACAGCAGAACTTGCATTAACAAATCACAACTTAGCAAAAGCATTAAATTCTCATCTTCTGGGGAATGTTGGCATTGGCAGTCAGAAAAAGATACCATCAACAGTTGAATTCTGCAGCTCCCCAGCTGAAAAAATGGCTGAAAAGGTAAAATAGTTTCATGATCTGTGGAATTTCTATTATGATCTCTGGAATTTTACTTACTGAAAAGCAACATGTTATAATGGAAGTACTTGGCATTGGAAGTAGGGAAGTACGGGATCTAAGCCTGATTTTCATACTAATGAGCTTGTGATCATGAAGACAATTATTTTCTCCTCTGAGCTTTAATTTTCCCTACCATAACTGCTGTATTTTGAGGAGAAAAAAATGTAATTGTTTTGAAAGAGGTCCAGTTTTTTAATTTAGTAATCATTAGTGAGTTAAGTAGGTTACTTCTGATCTAAGAAATTATGTAATTCCCACATAAAAGCTGGGAAAGTGCTAAATAATACAAGATTCAAATAATGTAGACCAAGTACCTACAGTTCTGGATGAATTCAGGGCCCATGCAGGTGACCTATCAAATACTATGATCTTACAGTTCTGGGTGACAGCAAAGTTTACCTTATAACTTTAGTACCCAACTCCAGGTCCCCATGTTAGACCTTGTTATTCACTAGAACTCTTCCATTATCAAAATCTTTAACATCTTTCTCTCTGATCTGTGACTCCAATTTCTTTCTAACTCTGATTCTTCCATTTTTACTACCTGTTTCTTGATCACATCATTATTTTTATTCTCTTGATAACTATATTTTTTTCATCTTATCAGCTCACAGCCCCAACTTCTCTTCCTTCTCTGGCATGCCTAGACTTCATTTTCAAGGGCCTTGTTCCCTTGTCCTCCCCAGGTATACTCAGAACCCAGTCTTTTGTCAGTTTGGCTGTTTGCCTTCTTTGTTTCAGTACCCATCAGACCACTACCTCACATTCACCAGATGACTTTGGTTCCTGATTCACAGAAGAAGGAGAGAGTATGGGCAGAAAACTGCCCCAGAGTCCCAGTTGATGTCTGGAAGCCTACATGTATGATGACCCTTTCTTTCCGAGGGAAAGGTATTCCCCCTCTGCCCCAAGCATAGTCGCTCTCTAGGCACATCAGATTCATGAACAGTTATCCCTTCTCTCTCTGTTGACTCTTTCCTTTTCATTTAAGAATATGCCCAGGTGTCATCCATCTAAAAGACAAGTCTCTCTCAGTAGGCCCTGGGTATGGCCTCATCACCTCCCTTCACAGCCTGTTTGTCCTCGCAAGCCATCCACTTCAAAGTGTTGAAGACTCCCAGCCTCACTGTACTTAAAAAGTACTCTTACACAGGTCATGAATGCTTATTTTGTGATCATATTTTACCCAATCAAGCATTTTTTTCCTTCAATCTCCCTTGACTTCTGTGACATTACTCTTTCTGAGCTCTTCTTTATAGACATTCTCTACATCTGCACATTTCTGCTCATTATAGAGACAGCTAAAAACGGAACAGCCTCTTTTCTCCTAGCTTTTACATTTGTATACCCCCCTAAAAAGAAGAAAAATAACTTTCTTTCCTATATTCCATATCTTAGTGACTGTTCCTATTGTATATGGTATTTTCAGGATTCCATAAAATAATGCATTTAAAGGCCATAACAGTTTCTAACATACAGCAATTTCTCAACTAATAGTAGCCGTGATTTTTATTTTTTTCCTTCAGGCTCCATTCCTGTTCATTTTACCATCTTCTTAGTTCCTTCTGATTTACACACACACACACACCCCTACACCTGCCCTGCTCCCAAGTTCCAGCTCCTGACTTACACCCTTGACTGGGTCAGTATCCCTGGCTTTTTTTTTTTTTTTTAAACCTGCCTCCAGGCCATCTTGAGCTACTTTCCCAGAGGGTTGTTTTTTAAATGCCAATACAATAATCATATAGCTCCCAATCTCCCTCATTATTGAATCTAAATTTTTCATATAGTAGAGAAGAATTTTTGTAATCTTTTTTTCATCCCTCCTTCTCACAGATCATTTCACAGGTGCCCCTACCACTCTGCACTTCACATTCTAGCAGTGTTGACCATTTCTCATTCCACATACTTACCCTTGTGTTCCCATCTCCCTAGACTGCTTCCCAGCACCTGACCTGTTGCCCAGCCTCTGCACCACCTGGATGAGTCAGTTTTCTCTAAGTCTCACCGGCAAGTCTAGATGTGCATTCTGCAGGCTTCCATTGCACTAGCTCTTCATTAGCTCATATTTGTTTGATTCTCCTTCCTTATCCCAAACCATGAGCTGCTTAAGGGGTAGGGAATATGTCTTTGTTTCCTCAAGGTGTGGAATCTGTTGTACATAGTAGGGACTCAACTATTTACTGAATGAGTCAGTGCCTAAAACTATACTTATCACCTTTATCAAAAACATTGTTTCCTCTTTTCTACTATTTGTTGGGAAATTATGTCAATGCATACTTGGTTACTACCAGGAACATTTGGAGTAATGGACCACTCCCTCTTTTTTAAAGTACTTTCTTCCCTTGTTTTTTTCCTATGCTACAATTTCCTGTGTTTTCTTTTATCTGACCATTCTATTTCAGAATATTGGCGATTCTCAGGGCTTGATCAAGATTCCCTTGTTCTCTTAGTCCTTTATCCCATCACATTTTCCCATTTAACAAAACTGATAACACTTCTTCCTTAGGATTTCTTGAACCTTTCAGCCCCATTACCTCAAGTTGCCATTATTTTTTTTTCCCCCAGAGATACACACGAGAGTTTATTTGTCAGAGCTGACAAATAAAGGCACATGCCTCCATAGTGAAGAGAGGCCAGTTGCCATTATTTTTTAATCAGAAAATTGCAGTGATTTACCTTTCTGTCTTTTTCCCTTGTCTGCCCTAATGCCTCCTCCTTTTCCCATCTTCCACACCATGTATAGCATGATCTTTGAAAGGGACAATGCTTAAAAATCAATCCTTGTCACTTTTAGCCTAACATCCAGAAGCATTTCTATCCATTCTGATGTCTCAGTCTCCTGTTGAATTTCCTAAGCATTTTGTTTCTCTCTAAAGATCCATAATGTGACAACATATATATATAGGGTATTTGGAAACTTTATTTTCCCCTCCGAATTTATAAGTAACTTTAAGCCTCTCTTCTTTGCTTGTTATCTTATATTTAACTAGGTTGCGTAAAATGGAAAGATCTCAAAAACTAAATTGAAAAAGCACAGTTTATTTGAAAAATAGAGGTCCTAAAATAGAATGATGGCTTTTAAGTGATGCTGGGATATTCTTAAAGTAGCGCTGGTGTGGGTGTGGTGGTAACTTAGAAGGATAAAACAATCTTCTAGACAACATCAGAGCAGGGAAATGGGCCTCTTCAGCAATTCTTGTAAGCTCCTTTGAATAAGCCCTCCAGAGAGAAGGACTTTTCTCTGGTTGCTTTCACAATTTCCTTCCAATTGCATTGCCTACCTACTTTGAAACATAACTCATATTCATCATGTGACAATTATTGGGAGAATATGAATAAGAGATAGAAGAGCTGTGAGCCAGACGTGTTATCTTTATCTTTATAAACATGTTAGAGAAATATTTTCAATCCAAAAGTTCCTGCTTTGATTATCAGTAAAGGAGACTAAACAGGAAAAGTCAGGGTGAAGAATAGGGAGAGTGATAGTATTATGGAACACAAGAAATGAAAACATGATTGTTAACACAAACTATTGCATATAAGTTGGAAAAAGAGAACTGAAAAGCCATTTATTTTACAAATAAAAACTAATCATACTGCAAAATAGCATTTGATAAAAGAATGAAAAGCAAAATCTTGATTTTAAGTAGTTGAATGAAAGATTAAAGAAGACATAGTGAACACCATTTACTTAAAGATAAAAATTGACATCACAAGGTAGAATTGATGTAAGCTCATTTTCTGTTTTTATTCCTGTCAGTATTCATAAAAGAGCATTAATTTTATCATTCTTAAAAAAACATGTAACAGTGTAATTAATAATAACTAGGAATTTTTGTTAAATGTATGGTTGCGGGGGGATAAGTTCTCAAATTCATCCTTCAGATGTGATTTTTATAAGAATTCCATATTAGTGAACTGGAACTTTATAGGTAGTCATACATCAGTGAAATGAAAGGCTTTTATAGTTCATACTACATACGTCTAATATTACCTCTCGTTTTCCTTAGGTTCTACGCATTTTGGATCCAGTCACCTGTACAGAAAGCTCACCTGATAATCTATTTTCTCAGTCTTCACCAACCACATTACTTGCTACAAAGAAAAATATTGGACGATTTCATCCCTATACTAGATACGAAAATGTAACTTTCAATTGCTGCAATCACTGCCAGGGAGAACTTATTGTCCTTTAATATTCCATATGTTGGAGGCATGTCCAAGAGTCATTTTTATTTGGGAGTTGGGTTCTTATAATACAAGGTAATGTCACTTCCTCTTTACATATCATATATCTACAAAGATATTTTATGTTCTGGACTTCAGATTATCCTTTCTTAATAAATATCTCAGGGTACAAAAGCAAACCGTGTAGGTATGTTTAGAGTACAGGATAATATCCAGGCAAACACAATGTTTATGCTAAAAGACTCAAAAAGATTTTCTACCTGTCTTTGAGGCCCCAAATTATTATTCTTATATTATTCATCATTATATAAGAAAATGTTTCATTTGGGTGCACTACTGCAGACAAACTAAATCCATGAGTCAAATGTCACCATACCCATTCATCTGCTATTGCCTAAGCTGGTTTTGAACAACAGCAGAGTAGATGCGGCAGGACTTGTAGACCCTTGAAGGATTGTTCTTTACAGAAAAAAATTTCTAACCCTTACATAAAAATAATACCTGGGAGACAGGGTGAAGAGGTTACAATCATTTTTGCCGCAGTCTGGCTGGGCACAATTCAGGAGCCACTTGTCAAAAGAAACGAACTTTATTTTTAGAACACACACCACACCACACAGCTCCTCAGGAAAAACTCTCAGAGGCCAACTGCCACCACCAGCTTCCCACAAGCCTCTCAACCTCCCCCACTCCTCCTGCTCTTGAGGCTGATTGGCTGGGTCATGTGGGTAGAGCCAAAAAAAGTCCCCCAATGAGCAGCTCCGTGGTCTGAAAGGGCGGGGAAACAGCCCAATGAGCATCACCGCGGAGGAGCCAATCAGTTGGCAGCTAGAAGTTTGCTGGGGCCGCTGTGAGCCAATCATCAGCTGGCAGCTGGAAGTTTGCTGGGGCCCCGTCGGCTGTGGCTCTCAACATCTCCCCCTCTCTGTTTAAACAACAAGCATGTGGCTTAGGGACCGTGCCTGCCTTAGGTTGTCCAATACTACATATGGTCCTTACCCGTCATCAGATGAGCTGACCTCAAGGCATCAGCCTCCTGTCTTAGGTGGTACCATTGCAATTGGATCTTACCCGTCATTGACTACCCGTCCAGCATACAGCCACACCTGTGGATAGGTCTTTGTACCAGTAGGGGGGTGAGGTTCTTTGCCTCACCTCTGTTGGCCCCCAAATTTTAGCTGAACGACCATGACAAGCAGAAGGGAGGAAGATACACCAAGCCAATTGACGGCTCCTTTTGGAAAAATTGTACCACCGATGACACCATCAGCAAAAATACCCCAACACTACCACAAGTCGCTGCACCAACAGATAGTTCACAATGCATACAAGTGATACATAGTCCAGGGAAGTTCTGCAAGCAGTTCAGTGATGGCTCCTTTTGGAAAAATTGTACCACCGATGACACCATCAGCAAAAATACCCCAACATTACCACAAGTCGTTGCACCAACAGATAGTTCACAATGCATACAAGTGAGTTCACAATGCATACAAGTGATACATAGTCCAGGCAAGTTCTGCAAGCAGTTCAGTGATGGCTATTGCAGAAGCTGTAGATTGGTTTTATCTTTGTCTTCACCGGCACTGGGATGAAGATAGGAATTCTGGCAATAATGTCTAAGGAAAAAATTATGTAACATTCCAGAAGGCACTAAAAACAATTTTCTTAACAATTTACATTATCTTGAACAGAATTATTAAATATAATGAAAAGGAAACGTGAAAGTAAACAGATCTTTTAACCTCCTTTTTTTCACATATTAAAACAATCCTCAACAGCTGTTTACCCAATTTAAATTAAACCGTTTAAATCGTGAATAAAAAAAATATTTGGATCCATTTTTTCATGAGTGCTCATCATATATGATATATGTACATACGTACATACAACATAAAACACAAGTGTGCACACATAATACATACAACACATAACATAATAATAAAGGCCTTATAACTTTTTACAGGTGAAATCTCCATTGCAATGTTTAAAAACTATAGTCAAAAAATAGAACTGATCAGCAAAACATTAAACTAGGTCTGTATGAGCTCAAAAAACAAAATAGAACTTCATGATGTGGGAAAGGGCAATAATAAAATAGGTATTGAAAAAAGCATCCTGGTTCTGTCGCAGATGTAAGGATAGCCAAACTGAAGTTTTGGATATCAGCTGTTATGGATTTGAGCCAAATCATCTTCTTTTTGGTCTGTAGAAATCACTTTAGTTAATCTCTCTGGAATCCAAATCGGCTGCTGTTCTTCTCCCTGTGGAAACATACAAACAGACCTCTGACTCCAGACAATTACTGGGTCAGGACCTTTCCATTGTCCTGTTAGAATATCCTTCCAAAGTACCTTGGGCTTATGTATATTTTTTGGACACATATGTCTTTCTGCAGCACTAAGTCCTGATGAATCCAAATTTAAAAAGTTTAGAGTAAAAAGGGTTATTTTAAGTTTATCTTTGGGGAATATATACCCCTTCCCAATTCCCTCTTTTTGCTTTAATAAGTACATTTTAATAGTTTGATGAGCTCTTTCAACTATGCCTTGTCCCTGTGGATTGTATGGGATTCCTGTTATATGAGTAATGCCAAATGATGATCAAAATTGTTTAAAAGAGGTAGAAGTGTAACCAGGACGATTATCTGTTTTTAACTGTTTTGGAACGCCCACAGTGGCAAAATTTTGTAAGCAATGAGCTATAACATCTTTAGTTTTTTCTCCGGCATGAAGGGAGCCCATCAAAAATCCAGAAGAAGTATCAACTGTAACATGCAAATATTTTAATTTTCCAAATTCTGGCAAGTGTGTGACGTCCATCTGCCAAATATGGTTAGGTATCAGTCCTCTAGGATTGACTCCAGATTAACTTGTGGTAAAAAGGTCACACAATTTTGACATTGTTTTATTATTTGTCTACCTTGTTCCTTAGTTATTTTAAAACGCTTTTGTAAAGTATTAGCATTGACATGGAACTTTTTATGAAAATTTGTAGCTTCTTCTAGTGTAGAGAAAATATGTATGTCGTGTAGTTTTATCTGCTAAATCATTGCCCAAACTAAGGGCTCCAGGCAATCCTGTATGTGCCCTGATATGTCCTATAAAGAATGGATCTTTTCTGTCCCAGATTAGACTTTGTATAGTGGAAAGCAAAGAGAAGACAGTAGAGGAAGGGGAAATCCTACCAGCATCTTCAAGGGATACTATAGCATTAACTATATACTGACTATCAGAAAATAAATTAAATACAGAATCTTTAAACATCACAAAAGCTTGTAATACTGCATTAAGCTCTACATTTTGAGCTGATTGTTTGGGTACTAAAAATTTAAAAGTTTGATCAGGTGTAACTATTGCTGCTGTACCATTATTTGACCCATAAGTGAATATATTTGGAGCATTCATGATAGGTGTTATTCTTGTCATTTTTTGAAAAATTACAGGATGCGATGACCAAAAAGATAATAAAGGATTAGATGGTAAGTGGTTATCAAATGAAACATTAGATTTGCACATGATTATTGCCCAAGTATTTAACTCATTAGCTAACTCATCAATTTGATCCATAGTATATGGAGTAATAATTTTATTGGGAGAAATTCCAAACACTCCCTTTGCTGCTTTTTTTCCTTTGAGTATTAATTGTCCTACAGCCTCAGGATACCTAGTAAGAATAGTGTCAGTAGCATAAGATAAATGTATCCATAATAATGGTCCTTCTTACCAAAATACCCCTGTAGGAATATTTTTCGTTGGTAGTACATTAAATAATAAAGGCAAACTTATATCAATTCTATCCAAATGCATATTTTCCATATATGTTTCAATGATTTTTAATGCCTTTCTTGCTTCAGGTATTAACATTCAGGGTGAATTTGGATCTGATGGACCTTTTAGGATATCAGATAAAGGTCCCAAGACTCCTGTTGGTATACCTAGATAAGGCCTTATCCAATTTATGTCTCCTAATAACTTTTGAAAGTCGTTAAGTGATTTGAGTTGATCTACTCGTATTTGAATTTTTGGTGGACGGACCATGGTTGAGGATAATAGAACTCCTAAATAATTAATTGGAAAATTTAATTGTACTTTATCTATTGCTATCTCTAGATTATAATTTTTTAATAAGTTTGTAAGTGTGGCATAACATTCTAGCAATGTGTTTTTATCTTTGTGTGCTAATAATACATCATCCATATAGTGAAATATTTGTAGTTCAGGATTTTGATTTCTAAGTGGCTGGATTACTTTGTTAAGATAAATTTGACACATAGTTGGGCTGTTAGCGATCCCTTAAGGGAGTACTTTCTATTCATATCTCTGATCAGGACCTTCATGATTCAGTGCATGGATAGTAAATGCAAAATGTGGACTATCCTCAGGATGAATTGGAATTGAAAAATAAAACAATCTTTAATATCTATAACTAAAACATACCAAGTTTTTGGCAAAGCAGACAATTGAGGAATCCCCGATTGAGCAGGTCCCATAATAACCATCTCATTATTAATGGCTCTTAAATCTTGCAATAATCTCCATTTACCAGATTTCTTTTGATGACAAAAACGGGAGTATTATGGGGAGATACTGAAGGTTGTATATGTCCTTCCGCTAATTGTTGTTTGACCAGGTCATGGGCTGCTTGTATCTTTTCTTTAGTCAGGGGCCACTGAGGAACCCATACTGGTCTTTCTGATTTCCAAGGAATTTTTATTGTCTCAGTGGCCCTTTCTGAAAATCCAACCCATGTCTGTCCATTCCTTGATCTATTTGTATTGGTGCTACTATACTTTGTTCTTGTTTTTCTAATCTTTTTCCTTTCCTAAAACCTTGTCTAGTCATAATAGTGGGTGCATTTTGGTTGATGTTATTTGTTAATGTCAAACCTAATTGATCTAGGACATCTCGTCCCCATAAATTTACGGGAAGATGATCCAATACATATGGCTGTATAGTTCCTTCACATCCTTCAGGATCCTTCCAATCTAATACCATTGCACTTCTATGGGGATTAGTCGCCACTCCTAGGCCTCGAAGCGTTTGAGTGGCTTGTTGTAATGGCCAATGTTTTGGCCATTCTTGACGAGAGATGATGCTAAGGTCTGCACCTGTATCCAGTAGCCCATTAAACTCATGTCCTTGAATATTTAGTTTTAGCATGGGGTGAGAATCTAAATTTAAAGAAAGCATATCCCAATCTACACCTGTGGAGCCTAATCCCTTGGAACCTCTTTCTACAGTACAACTGTGCCGCAGTCTGGCTGGGCACAATTCAGGAGCCACTTGTCAAAAGAAACGAACTTTATTTTTAGAACCACACACCAAACCACACAGCTCCTCAGGAAAAACCTTCAGAGCCCAACTGCCACCACCGACTTTCCACAAGCCTCTCAACCTCCCCCACTCCTCCTGCTCTTGAGGCCGATTGGCTGGGTTGTGTGGGCGGAGCCAAAAAAAGTCCCCCAATGAGCAGCTGCGTGGTCTGAACGGGCGGGGAAACAGCCCAATGAGCATCACCGCAGAGGAGCCAATCAGTTGGCAGCTAGAAGTTGCTGGGGCCGCTGTGAGCCAATCATCAGCTGGCAGCTGGAAGTTTGCTGGCAGCTGGAAGTTTTCTGGGGCCCCTTCGGCTGTGGCTCTCAACACGACTGGAAAATTTATCATGTAGGCTGGGTATTATTAGTAACTGTGTTGTTCTATCTCCTGGTGAAATTACTGATATACCCTTTGGAGAACTAGCTATAATTTTTATTTCACCTTCATAATCGGGATCAATTACCCCAGGACTTATCATGAGTCCTTTTAGAGTAGAAGAACTGCGTCCCAATAATAACCTACTGTTCCTTTGGGAAGAGGTCCTTTTACCCCTGTGGGAATGATTTGAACTCCCATCTCTGGAGTTAGTACTGCTCTGGCGGAGGCGCAGATGTCCAACCCTGCGCTCCCTCTGTTTTGTCTGATGAGGGATCTAATGGACAATGTGTCCTGGGCACTACCCTGATGGGGTTGCTGGGTTCCTCCAGTGCTCCATATATTTGTGGTCTTGGACCCCGGAGCATTGGGCCCCCCGTCCATATTTTGGCAATGGAGCCCAATGCCTTTCTCTACGATACCGTGGATAAACACCTGGTCCTTGTTCGTTTTTTGATAATGGAGTACCCTCTATGGTGGTTTGAGAACGGCATTTATTAGCCCAATGTCTCCCTCTACGGCATCGTGGGCAAATACCCGGTATTCTACTGCTTTGATATCTAGTTTTGTTAAACCCTCCTCCTATGGGGCAATTCCTTTTAAAATGTCCTGTTCACAATTGTAGCATGTTCTTGGCCTGGCATCTAAAGCCTGTTTTACTGCAGCTGCCACGACTTGCCCTTGTTCATTAATGTCTCTACATAATTTAATATATGTGTTTAAATCTTCATGTTTCCATGGTCTAATGACTTCTCTGCACCAACAATTTGCTTGCTCATAAGCCAGTTGTTTTATTAATGGCATTGCTTGTTCTGTATTCCCAAAAACTCTGGTAGCTGTTTGAATAAGCCTATCTACAAATTCAGCGTAAGGTTCATTAGCTCCTTGTATTACCTTAGATAATAGACGTTGTAAACCTCCATGTCCTTGTAAAGTCTTCCATGCCCTAAACACATCTACAGCAATTTGTGCGTATACGCTAGGATCATATGCAATTTGTTGCTGCTGATCCTCATAAGGTCCCTTTCCTAAGGACATA